ATAAAATAACATAAAATGACCATAATGACTATCCACAAAAAACCTCACACTCATTCACTCCCTGCTTTTATTAGAAACACATCTGTAATGAAGGGCATATAAACCAACCACTACATGCATTGTCTAGGGAATCATTCAAAATATGACTTATTTTGACCATAGACATGCCTCTGTCATTTACATATTAAAAGTGTATAGGCTACTTAAAAAACTCTCAGTATATGAGTACCAGGCAGGAGTGGAATTTGACAATCTGCTTATCTACATTAAACAATATATAACCGATGTCGATTGTTGACTGTCTTATTGAAGTACAATTGGCTAACCGGGGTAACCGGGTCACTTCTCTGACATGTTTGTCTATTCATACTGACAAGGCCATTGTACCTCTGAACCTCATACCCACTGTAGGACACACGTATATTACTGAAGACTTATTAAGATGTTAGTTTATCTGCTGTGCTGCGACAATTCTAGATTATTGTGACTTAGATTACAATGGACATGATTACTACTGTCTGAGAAGCTTGTCTGTTCATATTAGCAGTATTGCCCTTGAACATGTTTGTTTCAGGACTTTATTGTACTCTGACATTTCACCAGCGTGAATGGAATATTCTTCATTGTAGCCGTGAATATCCAATCCTGTGTTTTGCTCTATGTATCTCACAGGATTTGTTGGATTTACCTTTAAATTGATAGTTTTTTACTGTGGTATAGTTTGAGTGGTTTGTTGGTCAGCACCACATTTTGTGTGTAGAAATGATTTTATGGCAGTTGTCTATATGTATATGTACTTTTGTCAGTATAATATAGACATATAAATAATTCCATACTTTATTGTATCTTTGTGTTTTATCAAATTCAGACCAGATTATAACAGTCATTTATGGATTTGAACTTTAAGATTGTTGTGGCCTCAGGTCTTTGACATACAAACTTTTATGTAAGGCTGAAAATAAGTATGGATGCTAAGTAACAGCAGGATTTACTGACTATTGGAACTTGCCTTGGACAAGTAAATATACATACTGTTTGCAAGTAGGTATTACTCAATGGATTACCGTACCTGGTGACTGAACAGTGGCTTAATTGTTTCTAATTGGTTCAGACATTTATCACATACTCATGTTCCCAAGAATTGAGTTCTCTAACACCATTACAAACTCTTCATCAAATAATAATTGTGCTTGTAATCATGATGAGTGTTACACACTGCCGGAGAAACGCAAATGTAATTGTGAAACTCGACTTTGGCCGGATGGACCATACTGGCCACCTCATTATATTGGACCACTGTTTGCCACACCAAGTCATATAAGTGATATTCCACAACATCATGAACCTTTATCTAATGGAGGTAAGTGAGTATCTCTGTGAGTAGTAAGTGAGGAGTAGACAGTCACATCTCCATGTGTTGTGTGGATGTTGGCACTTCTGAGAGTAGTAAGTGAGAAGTGGACAGTCACATCTCTATGTGTTGTGTGGATGTTGGTATCTCTGTGAGTAGTAAGTGAGAAGTGGACAGTCACATCTCTATGTGTTGTGTGGATGTTGGTACGTACCTCTGTGAGTAGTAAGTGAGAAGTGGACAGTCACATCTCTATGTGTTGTGTGGATGTTGGCACGTCTGTGAGTAGTAAGTGAGGAGTGGACAGTCACATCTCTATGTGTTGTGTGGATGTTGGTACCTCTGTGAGAAGTAAGTGAAAAGTGGACAGTCACATCTCCATGTGTTGTGTGGATGTTGGCACCTCTGTGAGTAGTAAGTGAGGAGTGAACAGTCACATCTCTATGTGTTGTGTGATGTTGGTACGTA